TTGTATAAACCAAAACATTTTGATAACAGGATGTGGAAATAAGCTTCTAAGTTTAGAAATTTAAGTTCTAAAGTTGATATATGCTCACTAAGGAAATGAGGAGTACAAAAAATCACAAAAAAAACGTTAACCTAAATGTTTAACATTTTGGAGTATGACTTATGCATGTTAACTCTGGGTAAACTGATATAGTAGGATAGTTTGTTTTGGACACCCTTTATTTATCTCCTGGCCTCCACACCCTATGTGCCTAGTGCCAAATGCAGTACACAGACAGCTGAAGCATTGTGCATGTTATATCTATGTATGTATGGAAACACATGCATATTTGTATTTATATGAGTATTTTTATATGTGTTTAGATTTCTGGATCTGCTACTTACTAGCTTTGTGACCTTGGGGAAAATTACTTTATCTATGTATTTTAGTCAGTTTTTTCACTTCTGTGACTAAAGGATCTGACCAATTTTAGGGGAGAAATACTTTATTTAAGAACTCACAGTTTCAGAGGTTTTAGTCCCTAGGCAGCTGGTGCATTCCTCAGGGCTCAGGTGAGGCAGGACATCGTGGCAGGAGGGGGTGGCAGAGGGAACCAGCTCACATGATGATCAGAGAGCAGAGAGAGAGGTCTCCACTTGCCAGATACAAATATATACCCCATGGCCATGCCCCAAATTAACTACTCCAGCCACACCCCACCTTCCTCCAGTTACCACTAAGTTAATCTCATCAGGGGTTAATTCACTTATTAGGTTAAGGCTGTAACCCAATCATTTCTTTCCAAACCTTCTTGCATCATCTCACAAATGAGCTTTTGGGGGACATCACATTGACACCATAAACCTGTCTGTTTCCTAATCTGAAGAATGGGAATAATAATAGTATTCACTTCATATAGTTGTGAGAATTAAATGAGACACTATATGTAAAGTGTTTAGAACAATGCTTGGCACATAGTAAATTTCAATAAATCTTATTATAATTGTTTTATATACATACATATATATATAATAATCCTATTAAATATAACTTTTCTGGATTTATATTGCATATAATGCCTGTAGCTTCCATTTTTTGGAAACATATATTTTATTTACTTATTTTTATGTGGTGCTGAGGATTGAGCCCAGTGCCTCACATGTGCTAGTCAAGCGCTTGACCACTGAACTACAACCTCAGCCTGTAGCTTCCATTTTCTTATAAAATCATACAATTTTTTTCAAGTTGTTAAAACTCTACTACTACAAGATATATATATATATRTATATATATATATATATATATATATATATATATATATATATATATATTTTGCAGTGCTGGGAATTGAGTTGAGCTTTACCATTGAGCTATATTCCCAGTTATTTATTTGTTTATTTTAAAATCTGAGACAGGGTCTTTCTAAATTGTTTGAGATTGACCTTGAACTTGCACTGCTCATGCCTTAACCTCCTGAGTTGTTAGGATTAAGGCATGTGTCACTACGTCTGGCTCCCAAGATGATATTTTTATGTCTGCAAAGTATTCCAGAGCCTATAGTTAGGTTACAATTAATTTTTAACAAATATCTTATTATCAGACATATAGGTTGTTTAAAATTATATTTTATTTCTTGAACCTTCTTGTAAATTCTTTTACCACTTCTGATAATCTCTGTAGATGAATTCCTAGAGTTAGAATTGTTGGATCAAAGAATAGGAATAAACTAAAGGCTTTCCACATATGTGGAAAGCCTTTAGTTTATGTGTGTATGTGTGTGTGTGTGTGTGTGTAGTATTATCCCAATTGCTTTCCCGAGAGTTTGTACCTACTTATGTCCTCACCAGGACATCATGAGTGTTCATTTATTTATACCTTCAGAAACAGTGGTCATTATCTCCTTTTAGTGGCTTGATTTATTTGATTACGAGTGAAGTTGAACGTTTTTTTCTATGTTTACTGGCCAACAGAATAGGCAATTTTCCAGATCATTGGACATTGGATCAGGAAAGCAGGAATCAGTCAGTGGACCTTGACATAGAGTGCATCAGCTGTCTGTGGCCTGCATTTGGCACTGGGCACATGGGGTGTAGAGGCCAGGAGTTAAATAAAGGGTGTCCAAAACAAACTATCCTACTATATCAGTTTACCCAGAGCTAGCCCTACAGAAGGTCTGTGTTTAAAATAATGAAGTTATTAAAGATATAGGCTGTTTTTTWAAAAAAATATTTTATTAGTTGTTGATGGACCTTTATTTATTTATATGTGGTACTGAGAATGGAACTCATGCCTCATACATACTAGGCAAGCGCTCTACCACTGAGTTATAATCCAAGACCCATGGGCTGTCCTTAATTTAACAAAAAAATTTGGCAAAATCCAGAAAGGATAAAGAAAAAAAAATAACAATTTTACATGTTAGCACTACTGATAATTTACCATTTGCTTCTACTAACTCATACTAGAATGTTTTCTAATGGGTTATGAATTAAAAAAAATAAAACAACAGCCACAAAAACCAAACTTTCTATTTTTGATGGGTATCATTTTATCTATTTATGTTATTTAAAAACTCCAAGAGGGCTGGGGCTATAGCTCACTGGCAGAGTGCTTGCCTAGCATGCGCGAGGCACTGGGTTTGATCCTCAGCACCACATAAAAATTAACAAATAAAATAAAGGCATTCTGTCTATCTACAACAACAAAAAATATCTAAAAAAACCCCTCCAAGATATGTGTAAAATGTATATTTTGAAGAATATAATCTATAGTCTTGGGGGAAGAGGGGTATAAGAACTTTTACTTTCTATTCTGTATTGACAAAAATTTTTTCAGAGAGAATTTTAATTTATAAATTACTTAGTAATTTAAACATGCTTACTACTATGCTCTTTAGAATCCTTTCTTTTTCTTCCCTTCCTTTCCCTTCCCATTCCTTCCTCAATCCTTCCCCTCCCTCCCTACCTGCCTGCCTACTTTCCTTCCTTGTGCTGATTGAATCCAGAGGCTTGAACATGTTAAGTTTGTAATCTACCACTGAACTACACCCCTACCCAGAATATTTAATATTTTAAAAATTTAAAAATAAACCTAATTCTCAATTTTATTTTTTATATAAACAGGTTATGGTTTCTGATGGTTAAAGGGAGCACATAAAAAGAAGAAACTCACAATTAATTAAAGTTCGTAACAGGAAGTCTAATCCTTTTCTGCTATTCCAAGGGGTTCTCAGTAGAAGCTTAACAAGGAAAAGAACAGGATTAGTCAGGGCTTTCTACATGTGTCTATCTTACAGAGTGTGACTTTGACTGTAAAAGTAAAGGTATATTTTAAAAAATTGATTAAGGATGACATAGAGCTGATAAGAAAGAATGTGTTTCTCCTTTGAATCTTATGACAATTTTGAGCTGAGTTGCCCAAGAATTTATTTCTTAAGAGGTTAATTTGATTAATAGTTCAATTATATTGAACCAAATCATAGTTTCCTAAGCCTGAAGATTTCAGGCATATAAAATGATGATTTAAATGATAGGATTTAAAGTCCAACTGCTTTGTTAACAAAATAACTCAGTTTTTTCCTCTTTCTTTCTTTCTTTTTTTTTTTTTTTGTACTAAGGATTGAACTCAGGGGCACTCAATCACTTAGCCCCCCCCCCTTTTTGTGTATTTTTTTATTTAGAAACAGATTTTACTGAGTTGCTTAGAGCCTTGCTAAGTTGCTAAGGGTGGCTTTGAACTCCTGATCCTCCTGCCTCAGCCTCCTCACCTGCTGGGATTACAGGCATATGCCACTGTGCCTGGCTAATAACTCAGTTGTAAAAGAAATTAGACGAATGACTTTGGACAAGTTACTTAATCACTGATATTTAATAATGGTATTTTATTGAGTTCTTAATGATCAGGTTTTATGTTATTACTCAAAAGTATACAAAAGTTATATTCTTTTATATTATCAATCTGATGTAAAGAGAAGGAGACCTAGATACATGGAAGTTGTGTAACTTGCCTAAAATCTCTCATTAGAACTGGGATTTAAAACAAAGCAATAAGATTCCAGAGCTGCATTACTGCTGTTGTCTCCTGCTGCTGTTATTGCAATTATGATTAATAAATGTAAGTCTTAATAATTCACAATAGAGAATAAACAGGAAAGTAAAATAGAATCAAATCATGGAGGGCCCTCATTTTAGCTTGGGCTAAAATTTTTGTTTTCCCAATCATTAACCAATCTGCTAATTGGCAACAAAATTATCAGTTTTAGATTATGTCCTTTTTCTTTCAGTTGTAAAATTCTCTTTTTCTTGGAGGTGGGCTGCTGGGGATTGAACCCCATGACATTGCAAATTGTGAAATTCTTTGTAAAAAGGAAAAGGGGTGGATTGGGGATGTAACTTAGTGATAAAAAGTTTGCCTAGCAAGTACAAGGCCCTGAGTTTGATACCCAGCATGGCAGAAAAAAAAATTGGTAGCAATTATATATTCTTCAAAGAAACTTAACTGACTACTTTGGACATTTAAATATATTGAGTTCATAAGTGTTTTGGGCCATCATTTAAAAACAGAATCAAGTTAAATTTCCGCTACCACAATATATAATAATACGTATTTCTATTTGAATGGGGGATTTTTATTGATGTTCTCTGAATTTTGTTATTGAAGAAATATTTCTTATACTTAAAAAAAGTCAAATTAGAAATGTAAGGATCAAAATAAAAAGTTGAGCCATGCAGAGTGGGCCTGGCAGTGCACATTTAAAACACCAGCTACTTGGGAGTCTGGGGCAGGAGGATTGCAAGCTCAAGGAGTTACAAAACCCTGTCTTGAAGTAAAGTTTTAAAAAGGGATGGATCATAGTTGCTTAGTTGCTTGCCTAGCATGCACAAGCCTCTGGGTTCAATCCCCAGTACTTTGTAAGTAAATAAGTACAAACAAATAGTTGGCTGTTTGAGGACTGATGCCCACGGCTTCCTTCATGCCATGTAAATTGTTCTGCTTATTTTTACCACTGATTTTTGTTTTAGGTTGAACAAATCCTGGCAGAATTTAAGGTCAGGGCTCTGGAATGTCACCCCGACAAGCATCCTGAAAACTCCAAAGCTGGTAAGTATTCAATAACAGCTATTTCTGAAGAAAATTAGTAGCATAGTAACTTAATTTTCTTTTATCTATTATGCTCAAAGTTATTCTTTTGTTCAATGCCAAAGGTTGTTTTTACTTTGGAAWGGTAGGAAGGGAGAGGACTGCGAAAGATCTTTTCTAATAGCAGTTGCTTAACATCCATTCTTCTTTCTGCTCTGATGTACTGCTTGGTAGTTTAACAATTGTCTAGTTCATGCTGTATTTCACCAGGTAAGGAGTGTTAACAGGACTTGAGCATGTTTGTCACCAGGTGGTTGTCTTGACAAGAACCCTTTGTGCTTTCTTCATTTGGGGGGACCTGAATATGTTCATATATCCTTAATTTTCCCTTTATTGCCAGCATGTTAATATCATTTAAATATACTATTATAGATTGAAAAAAATACAACAAACCAATGATCCTTCTGTATAGCCTGTCTCCTTACTGCTTCCCTATCTTTCTTCTTCTCTTCAGAGCCAAACTTTTATTTTTGATCTTTGCATTTCTAGTATTACTTTTTAACTGTAAGAAATAATTTTTTAATGATAAAATTCAGAGAACAGCAATAAAAGCTCCTATTCAACAGTAATATGGACTTTGAGAGCTTGTTTGGAGGTTCTAGCAGGGGAACGCAGCTACTCGTACATCCTTGACCAAAGAAGAGTCCTCCTCTATTGGGGAAGGTTGTCTTCTTCGATCGAATGCTCAGTGGTAATATGGATTATTAATTTCCCATTTACCCCACTCTGACTTTCTCCCTGTCTTACTCAGAAATGGATCAGGAACTTCCTATTTGCCAAATTTAAGTTATTTTTAGTTTGTATCTTTTCTGAGCCTGGATCAGAACTTGACACTGTTGACCATACCTTTTTTCTTCTCCTTTCTTTTGAGGACTGGGTACTGAACATGGCGGCCTGGGCATGCTAGGCAAGCACTCTGCCTCTAACCTACATCCCCAGCCTATACTTCCTTCCTGAAATACTCTTTCCCCTCAACTACCAGGATGACATGTACTTGTAGTTTTCTTCCAGTTTTTTGGGCTGATTTTTCCTGTTTCTTTTATGATTCCTTCTCTGCTGCCCTAAGATTCCCTTTTCAGCTGTCTGCTCAGCTTACTCTTGACTTGAGCCTTGTCATGGCTCCCAAATTTGTCCTTAACCCTGTTCTTGCTCCTCTCTTCAGACTGTAGAGACTTTCTTGGAAATTTCAATTTCAAAGTTATCTTGTCAAAAACTGAACTCATTATTCTCCTCTTATTCCCTCAGAATTCTTGCTTATTTTTCTGTTTCTTCATCTCAATGAATGAAACCACCATCCATTCATTTGGCCAAGCAGAAATGACATCTTTTGGGCTGGGAGTGTGGTAAAATGGATTTGACTCCCAGTACCTGAAACAAAGCAAAACAATAACAACAACAAAAAACCCTCATCTCCTTCTTTTCCTTCACATCCATATATGGTTGATTACCAAATGCCGTTGATTTACCTTTCATGTCTCTCTCCCTGTGTCCTCCTCCCTTCATCCTCATGCCATTACCATTTGATATAGGGACAAGCCACTCTCATTTCATGCCTGGATCCCTCTAGGCATTCCTTTAACTACTTCATTCTRCAGATAGTGATTTTTCTCTTTTTAATACATCATATTTCACAATTTGATTCAAGTGGGTTATGAACTCCCAATTTTACCCCGTATACAGATTGCTGAATCACATCAGTTACCCTTCCATTGATTGACAAATTGCCTTTCTAGTGTCTGATGTATTCT